AATAAAGCTTCAATTGCTTGTAAGTTTTTCTTTAAATTAAAATAAATTACAATTACTTTGCTTGTAAAGTAAAAAATATACAGTACAGTGAATTTTTAAGAAGAAAAAAAACAACTTGTAAAAAAAAATGTGCCCCACCCAAAAAAGATCAAACTGGGCCACGTTGGTGAACCATATTACAAAATGAATTTTAAACTTTCTATGTATTTTAGGTTCTGGGAATTGTTACTGGTGTGCTTTTACAAGATCAGGAATTGAAAGGTGTAGAGTTCCAACAATTGCCTTATCATAGAATTTTTATAATGCTGTTCTTAGAGCTTAGTGCCCCGGAGGCAGTACTAGAAGCAATAAGTGCACAAATTCTTACAGCCTTCTGGTATTATACATCTTGTGAACTTTTATCTTGTGTCTTGTTTCTTACCACAATACTAATTAGGTCTCTATTTCTTTTAGCAATACTCTTTATTACCTAAGACCGCAAAAGGCACCTGGGTTTGCCTATGCTTGGTTAGAGCTAGTTTCTCATCGAGTATTTCTTGGTCGAGTTCTGGCTGCTTCTTCAGCTCAAAAAGCAAGTGTTTTTATAAATGTTTATTGCGCAATGGGTGTTTATTTAATGACCTAAACTGTGTATAATTTATTGGCTATAGATTTATACAGTTAATGTATGTGTTTCAAATAAAAACTGTTGAGTTTCAAATAAAATTTTGTTGAGTTAACCGTAAAAGCTTGTTACAAAGAAAAATTTCATGACTATACATTTCCTAAAGGCAAAATTTAATCTTGAGCTCCAAAATATAGTTAAGATATTAAGAATAATGTATCAATAAATATGATTTATGAATTTTATTGGAAAGTATATACATTTTGTTCTCAATAATAAAAAAGATTTAGAAAATTTGAGTATTAAATATTCCAAACTATGGGAAAAAATAGCTTTGTAGCAGTTTTCGTTTGCAGTCTTTTTTTCTTTCTTTTTTTTTCCAAATTCTTAAAATTACTTTTTTGTTTTAATTGGAAAATTTAGTAAAGTATCTAATATTTTCTAAACACATTAAATATTCTTCCCTCAACTATTTATTCTATAGTAATTATTGTATTTCCTATTTTGTATAATTTTTTTAACAAAATTTTTTAATGTTATTTTT